AAGCAGTGTTGTAGAAAATGAATCCTACTGGCTCAAAGAGTATCAGCATGAGCGAAAGTTTATTAGTCTGTTTAGGCTACAATTAATCCACATTACACATCTATTCCGTATTATGAATTGGATTTATCGTGACATTGTATGACATTCTGCTTTTTTAAGAAATACATGCGAAAACTTTATAGAGCTTTTTCTGTCAGACTTCTGGTTAAATATTATTCGTTTCAGAAGCGAACGTTTTTTTGAAAGTTCGCACCATTAATGTTGAGAGCTATCGGCGTTCAATTTTTGTGAAACAGATTTTTATTGTGTTGAAGTATATAATGACAAAAGTGAACCAACACCCATCCCCAGCCCGCCTCACAGGCAATGAGAGACAGATTGACATGTTGACATGTTGGCATGTTTGCAACATTCGGTGACACTTTTTAGACACAACCGAGAGGAAAACAGTTGAGTCTTCGGCTTTGAAGTAAAATGAAGTTCCCATGTAAAAGAAAAGTGAACCAAAAGTCACTTTTTATCACTTTTAATAGTAATAAAGTAAAACAAAGTAACTTTTCTTACTATTTTTCACTTTTTATAGTACTTTTTGATAATTTTTCCACTTTCTATAGTACTTCCTCATACTTTTCCTACTTTCAAAAGTACTTAACAGTACTTTTTAGTCAAAAAGTACGAAAAGTACTTAAAAAGGTTCACTTATAAGTACTTTGTCCTGCTTAAAACCTACTATTGAAAGTACTTAATAGTCACTTTTTTGGGTAAAATTTTTACATGTGTTTTGAAAGTCATTTGAAGACTTCTGAAGCCTGCTGAAGTCTTTTGCAGTCATGTGAAGTAGGGATGCAACGGTGACGATCAATGATCGCTTCACCGTTACCGTTTCACAGCTCCAAACGGTGAACGATCAGATCGATCAACCGGTGAAACGAGGGTGTGGGTGTGTGGATGCGGGTATTAAAAAAGGGAAGATCCACACTCACCCACTCCCACACCCACACCTAGGGGTGGGAAGTTACCGTTTCCAGACCGTTCCTCGGAACGGTAACGGTAACGAAAAAGTTCCTAGTTCCCGGGTAGCTGGGAACGTTACAGTTCCCAGTTCCCCGGAAACGGTAACGCCCCGTTCCCAGTTACACAAGACCGAGAGCACAGATACCGGTCAGGCGACCAGCTACCATCAATCTCATAGTTCTGGTCCTCAAAAACAACTATTGGCGGTACCCTTGTGTCCGCAAGCCCCACCATTGGAGATACCGTTGGGTCCGCAAATGCTAGTATAAGCAGATACCTTTGGCTCAGCAAGTGCTCGTATAGCGGGGTACACTCAGCCCAAACACTGCAACTATTACGTGGTACCATGCGTCCAACCAGTGCAAAATTTGAACCAAATCGTTGTGCCATCAGGTTGAATTGGCAGGAAGGGGGTATCCTTGGCCCAAGCATGGCAAAGAGTGGCACGGTAACGTGAGACCAAGCTATGCAAATTTTGCGCCGAACGCTCGTGCCATCAGGTCGAAT